CATTTGCAACTCATCCTGAAATGGACTTCCTGCATGCTAACCAAAAAATATATCTGTATCTGTTTTGATACCACAGCAACAAAAATCCTTTGTGTCCCGCAGACAAACTCCTGCAACACTGTCTTTATTGTACAAAAACATTAGCAACGTTTAGATACTGAAACTTTGCCAACATTACAATTTAGACGGTGCTGTCTTTCTTTCACTAGCTGCCACTTTTGTTGAACTGTTACTCTTTATTTACTCGTGTCTTTATGCTCCACAGCCGATTTTGGCTTCTGTGCTCAGATCACTCCCGAGCAGAGCAAACGCAGCACCATGGTGGGCACGCCGTACTGGATGGCTCCTGAGGTGGTGACCAGGAAGGCTTACGGGCCTAAAGTGGACATCTGGTCTCTGGGAATCATGGCCATCGAGATGGTGGAAGGAGAACCTCCATACCTGAATGAGAACCCGCTCAGAGTGAGTTAAATGCTTTAACAACTTTAAAAAAAAAATTGTATTCCTTATTTCAACGACAGGTTGATAAACATTTTTAAATGAGAAACTCCAAAATAAACCAGCTGTTCTGTCACAAAATCTCACACTTTCTCTTAAGAAAACAGTTCAGTTTAAAAATCTGACAACTTCCAGAATCAATGCCCTGTTGAGTCGGAGTCAGGATCATTTAAATAAAGACACAGCTGCAGTGAGTCAGGAGTCTCATGAGAGGCCATCATGCTCTCCACATTCAACAGCAACATTCAGATAAAATGTTGGGTTCTAAATAGTTGACTGGTTGTCAAGAAACAAATTATTCTGTCCAGCTTTTCTGCTGCCTCGTGGTTTTCTTTGTTTTCTAGTTGAATACCAACAAACACTTTTGAATCAGCTTTGTTTGGCAAAGGTGTTGATACACACAAGGAAGAAATGACAATGATTATAAACCTCAAACTTATCTGACATGTGAACAGAGTGCTGGAATACATGTTTTACTTATTCATGTATGATTCACATTGTATTTGTAACCTCCGGTTTCTGTATTGTGTTGGTAAAATGAAAAAGCTTGTGACACCAGGATAAGTTTAGGGTTTATTCTGTCAAATAAATGAATTGTACTGTTTCTGCATATTAATGCAACTCTCCACAGAGCCCATCAAGGCTTTGCTAAAAAAAAAAAAAAAAAACTTTGGAGATGCATTCCCACACTTTATAAGTCTGTGTGCCCTCAGGTTTGAAGTCCATGCACGCAGATTTAAACTGCAAATCCATGTGTACAGTTTACAAATCAATATGTACAGTTTATAAATCCATGTGTACAGTTTACAAATTCATGTGTACAGTTTACAAATTCATGTGTACAGTTTACAAATCAATATGTACAGTTTACAAATCAATGTGTACAGTTTACAAATCAATATGTACAGTTTATAAATCCATGTGTACAGTTTACAAATCCATGTGTACAGTTTACAAATCATATGTACAGTTTACAAATCAATATGTACAGTTTACAAATCCATGTGTACAGTTTACAAATCAATATGTACAGGTTACAAATCAATATGTACAGTTTATAAATCCATGTGTACAGTTTACAAATCAGTGTGTACAGTTTACAAATCCCTGTGTACAGTTTACAAATTCATGTGTACAGTTTACAAATCAGTGTGTACAGTTTACAAATCAGTGTGTACAGTTTACAAATCAATGTATACAGTTTACAAATCCATGTTTACAGTTTACAAATCAATGTGTACAGTTTACAAATCAATGTGTGCAGTTTACAAATCCATGTGTACAGTTTACAAATCAGTGTGTACAGTTTACAAATCAATGTGTACAGTTTACAAATCAGTGTGTACAGTTTACAAATCAATGTGTACAGTTTACAAATCAGTGTGTACAGTTTATAAATCAGTGTGTACAGTTTACAAATTCATGTGTACAGTTTACAAATCAGTGTGTACAGTTTACAAATCAATGTATACAGTTTACAAATCCATGTTTACAGTTTACAAATCAATGTGTGCAGTTTATAAATCAGTGTGTACAGTTTACAAATTCATGTGTACAGTTTACAAATCAGTGTGTACAGTTTACAAATCAATGTATACAGTTTACAAATCCATGTTTACAGTTTACAAATCATGTGTACAGTTTACAAATCAGTGTGTACAGTTTACAAATCAATGTGTACAGTTTACAAATCAGTGTGTACAGTTTACAAATCAATGTGTACAGTTTACAAATTCAGGCACACCGATTTGTTAACCACGGCAACAGATTTGAACATGGTTTGTTCAATGTTTGTTCTTCCTGTCTTTGCTTTGTCCTTTAAGGCACTTTGTAAATATCTCTTTTTAAGGTGCTGTATGAATGAATTTATTATTATTACTGTAAGCTATTCAGATATTTCCTGAAAACTAGATTTCACACATTTTTGTGTTCCTCTTCGTGCTGTGCAGGCGTTATATCTGATCGCCACTAACGGCACACCTGAGCTGCAGAACCCTGAGAAGCTGTCTCCGGTCTTCAGAGATTTCCTCAACCGTTGCTTGGAGATGGATGTAGAGAAAAGAGGCGGAGGAAAGGAGCTGCTGCAGGTTGGAAACTCTTCCTGTTTCTTGGGGTTTCATTCAAATCTGCTCTTCATTAAATAATTTCCCTTCTTTTTTTGTTTGTTTTGTTTTTGTTCTTGCAGCATCCGTTCCTGAAGCTGGCGAAGCCGCTGTCCAGCCTCACGCCGCTCATCCTGGCAGCAAAGGAGGCCATGAAGGGCAATCGTTAGCGGATGAGGCGAGCTCCCTGCCTTCCCATGCTGTGCACTGATGACGTGCCAACCATTTAGATTTATGTACCAGACAATAGGCTAAGAGTGACTCTCCACTCTTGATGCAGCAGCCTTAGCAGCCCTGACAAACCTCACTGTGAAGAAGACCAAAAATCTTGAGCACAACTCCACCGCTGTCCACATGAACTCTACTCTCTGTCATACGTCAGAAGACAAGTCAAACTAAAGTGCTTCGAGTCCAGCGTAGTTCTTTTCTACAACAGATCTTCGGTTGACACGTCGGGGCTAGGCTTGTATTTAACTTGGAATGAAGGAGACGCCTAGTTCTGTTTAGTTTTTTTTAATCAACTGCCTTAAAACAAATGCAAAATGTTGCCTAATGTATTGTTGATTGTGTCAATGTTTCTCTTCCCATGATTTTTACTACCTTTGTAATTTCAGCTCGTCAGTGTCTTAGTTATTTTGATACTTGAATTTTCATACGTGTCCGCCTCCTTGTCATGTAGTTCTTCTCGTCGCGATTTCAACATGTTTTACGGACATTTCCTCTTCCCAGTTTTATAGGAAACTTTTCAGTACATTCTTCATTATGAACATGTGCTGTGATGGTGTCAGTGTTTGAGCTGACACTCCTACTGTACCAGCTCCTGTTGTCATTAGTCTCCTGATACCAGTGGTGCACCTTACAGGCAAATGAAGATGTTAGATGACAGGGTTTATACTTTCTTCTCTATTGTTGTTATTAAAAATGAGTATTGTTTGTCGATCTCTGTCCTTTGTGTTCTTCTGGACTAAACAAATGCGCTTTTCTCATGTGTATATTGTGTACTTAATGATTAGTTTGAAGTAAAAAAGGCCATATCATCGTGGTTAGCTGAAGGCCGTAAAGAGAATTTGATGCCTCTTTTTTTATGTGTCTTCTGGATGACTAACAACCCTGTCTGCACACTCAAATAAATGCAACTGTTGTGATTTGGGTGTGAAAGTGATTCATGTGCAGCGATATGAAACAAAAATGACCAGACTAATATAAGCATAGCGATATAACAGTAATAATCTTGTCGTCATGAAGTAGAAGTTCTGTGTTGATAAGCAGAGCGGTTGGAAGTTAAAAGATGACGGTGACAGGGCTCAAAATGTTTTAATGTTGGAGTATTAGAAAAATGAGCTCCATTTGAGTTTCTATTTTTGAGTTTTACCCAGAGCATCTATAGTTGCTGATACAAGATGGGGGTAAAGTTGTAACAATAACATCCATTTTATTCTAATAATCAATTGTATTGGAAAACTTACTTCAGTCCCTTTTAACCCAAAGAGAGCGAGCACTGTCTAAACTGCACAGACTCACTGGCAATCTTTCGGTACCAGAACATTGCCAATTTAATCGTGCAATGTAGACAGTGCTCTCTTACAAAAAAAAATTGCAGGCAAACTCCTGCACTCTTTTTAAATTGCACAAATATGTTGTCAATTTTCAGTTTTTCCAAATGTTTATGTGATATATAAGAGAATGTCTTCAATGTTTTTGGAGTTGCTGATTTAAGGAAAATTTGGAGAGGTCTAATCTATTGAAGAAAAAAATCACAGATTAAAGATTTCTGAATTCTTCTCCAAACATTAGATTGCTAGATACTTATGATCCATTGTTACTAAAGCTGCAATCACAGTCAAGACATTTCATAAAATACTAGACGAAGAGCATTTAGGCACTTAAAAACAAGACATCAAAAATACTCAAATTTGTGTTAAAAACAGTCTCAAATGTACAATTATAAAATATCTAATGTGATTAACATATTCAGTGTTCAGAAGAATCACATGTACAAAGGTTTGTTCACGTTTAAAGTCTTAAAACCAAAATGTTAATGTATATATATACTCAATGAAAAAAATATATGTACAAGTGTATGTATGACTAAGAGCAAAGTTGTTGTTTATCAGCGAATATGAACTTGTTTTTGTTGTATCTTTTTGTTTTCTTAACCAGTTGTCATTTTCTGCAAATAAAAGACCTAAATAAGAATATTTTACTTACAAGTTTTGGAGAAATTGTGTTCACAGTAAAACATTAATGTTCACTTAACTCAAACAGAAACCTTTAAATAAAGGAACCAGGGAAAGAAAAATAAAAATCAGTGGTTTCTCAGATTTATCCGGAACTGTATTTTTTGCTGTAAAACCGTCACAACCCAGCAGGTGGCGGTAATTCACCTGTGGAGAGCAGCCGTCATTAAAGTCAACCGTAGAAGAAGAAGACGCACATTTACTGTCTATGACGAGTAGACGAGAGTGTTAAGGTGAATTTTGGACGATTTTGTGAAATGGCAGGTAATTTGAAAGACAGAGAAGCTTACGAAAGACTGAACTATCTTTATCAGGTAAGAAAAGAACAATAACTGGACGTTTGTTAGCGTTTCTAACAAACTAGCATCATGCCGGTGATATTGATTCATTTCTTGTCTCCAGGCGGCTCATTGTGTTTTATCCAATAATCCGGAAAATGCGGAGCTGGCTCGTTTCTACTGTTTCACACAGAAGACCATAACGAGACGTCTAGTCCTCAGACAGTAAGTGAAATCCACCGAAGTAATAAAAACAAGTGTTGTTTTGAAGAAGTTAGAGATGAGGGCTCGCTGTTTTTTTTTTTTTTATCTCAACCTAAAACTTTATTGAAAACCCTTTACGGTACAATTCATCACATTCTGGTTTATTATTTCTACAAACTTATATTAGGAAAGCTTGTTTATGTTACATCTATGAAATAACTGTGCAGTATTAATAATGAAAACAAAAATTAAAAAATAAAAGAAGCAAATAAAAAATCTATCAACAGATCAAAAATTAAATAAAAGACATCACTCATTTTTTGCAAGTCCGATTTCCCAGCAAATTAATCACACTTACTTCATTTGATTCAAATTTTAGCCAAACAATACTTTCATAAAAATAAATGGTTTCATCTACACTCTTAGTTTTAAAACCACGTATTTGATCTCTCTTGAAATGTAAACCTCACAAAAATGAATTTGACAGCAACAATTTCTTTATTTAGACATTTTGATTTGTATCCTCACAGCCGTAGCAGACCGCCCCTGTTGTTTTTGTTTAGTTTGGACTTTTTGTTAGTCTTTTCTGTTGTTAATTGCAGTTTTTATGGGTTTTTTTTGATACTGTACTACTTACTTACTAACTTACTCAACACATATGTGCATATATTTTAATGTATAAAATGTACATCTTTTTGTAATTCGATTTAAATACAAAGTGAATTGCTCGCCGTCACTGGGGAATGACATATTTTTGGCTATTTCTGTTGGAGACCCCCAGACCTCCCTTACCTGAAGGTGTCAACTGATTAACTGCAATGATTAACTCATGTTAATCATTTTTTCCTTTGCCACTCACATCCCTGACTCAGAAACGGTACAGGAAGTTTAGTTGACTGCAAGAAAAATTGGGGTGCTGGTGGCGCAGTGGTTAGTGCGTGCACCCCATGTATGGAGGCTTTAGTCCTCAACGCGGGCGGCCCAGGTTCGAGTCCGGCCTGTGGCTCCTTGCCTGTCGTTCCCCACTCTCTCTCCCTGATTTCCGACTATGTCCACTGTCTTGTCTCTCAATTGGAGGCACAAAAAACCCAAAAAGAAAAATTAACAAAAATCAGCTTTATTGTTGAAGTCTTATTCACCCAAAAAAGTTCAACATGTGTTGATTTCATTTTTGCAGAGACCCGTCAGTGAAGAGGACGTTATGTAAGAACTGCAGCTCCCTGCTCATCCCCGGAGTGACGGCGACAACAAGACAACGAAGTGAGTCCGTTTAAAGAGTCCACTTCCTGCGGTTATGTTTCCTGTCCTGTTGTAACATCCTGGAAAATATTTAAATCTCCTTTCAATTGGTTTTGAAACTTACTGAAATGAAAGGTGGTGCCTTTTTATGTCCTAAAAATGTAAATGAGGCTATAATGGACAAGATATACTATTTCTGTGGTCCCATTTTTAATACCTGTAACTGCTGCAAGGTGGTAGGTTTAAGATGAGATTTATTTATTGTTATAAAGAAGACGGGTGCATTTTTTGTGAGGAAACCCCTACTTTCATACTTGCAGGACAAGATCAGCAAATAGAAAAGATGTTCCACTTTGTCCGAAGAGGGCTCTAAAAAAGACACAAACCGAAAGTTCCTCACAGGAGCTCTTAGTGTAACATGATATCTCATCTGTTTGAATAAATGTAAAGCCTCAGACACACAAACCTTCTTTACGTTGATTTTGTCTCTACAGGGAAAAACAAAAAGACGAGTTTCACCGTCATGAGGTGTCTCAACTGTGGGAAAAGCAAGAGGCTACTGAATAATCCAGATTACAGCCTATGGGTGGATCGTCCTGAGGCCCAGCTGGAGAATCAGAATCAGAAACAGCCAGGTGACAAACTTTACTTTCACATTGTTACCTAGTGTCACAGAGGATGGTAACTATCAGCACACTATCAGTAGCCCTTTTCAGACTGCATTTCTGCAAAACCGTCATAACTAAACTCAGCCGTCATTACGTCTTTGAACATTTATAGTGATCCTGCTGTGGCGTAGTACTGGTGTCCCAGTCTGTAAATCACATGTGTTTCGGTGTTGTGGAAGCACAGCACAGTGGGAGCTCCACATACACTACAAGACATGCACACACTGCTTTTCTCCCACACTGGCTTCACTGAGTTGTCTCGCCTCTGTTACTACCTCTTAAGACGGTACAGAGGGTGGATCACATTGTCCCTCCATTACGCCTCCACAAAATTCTTATGGAAAGCAAAATTGCACTGGGATGTAAATATTGCGCCTTGAAACGGCAATCTAAATAGGGCTTGTGATTATGTAAGCATCCATACATTGGGTCCCACCACGTGAAAGCCCCTTCTTCCAGTTCACATTCACAACTGGCTGTTTCATGATAGAATGTTCACATACACCGCTATGCATGACATGTGTTACTGCAGGATGCCTGTAGAGGGCGCACCAGAGAGCTCAGGCTAAATGCATCTAACTTTGAGTGAATCAACAGCTCGTTAAGCAAATTTTATTTGGTAGCCATGGTTTTGTAGAAATACTTCACCTGAGTAGTTCTAGAGTAAGAATCAAAGAATGTTTGCTAAATTATTCCAAAAAGTTGTTTCCACGCTTCAAACTCAAAGTAAGTGCAAAGAGAGTCCCACTGAGGACATGATGACTTAAAGACAGCCGTTTGTACCGACTGTAAACTTTGAGTCTTTTTTCACCCACAGATCCAGCCCCTCCTGTTACAAAGAAGCCCAGAAACCCAAAGCCTGGTAGGTGGGCAGCACAGCAGCAGCTCTCCTCCTCTGGAAAATGTGCAGCTTTAATGTCATTCTTAAGTTTTTGATCCATGAACAGGTGTGATATTATCAATTAAGCACCAAAAGTTATGAACTCTGGTAGGTTTAGTATGTAGGGCTGCACGATGATATTAGCACATGAACATATATATACTTTTTTTAAACATTAAAATGATCAGTCCTGAATAAATCTCTACGCTGACACCACAAGCTGATACTATGACTCTCTAACACTCAAATAGTGGGCTTTTAAAACGCGGAATTAAAATCTGTCATGCTGATGTGTAATCTGAGTTGAAGTAGTTTGACAATTTGACTGTTAAATGTGAACATTTTGAAAACATTACAGACAAATGCAAAAAGTAGAAATGATCGATTGTTGATTCCACACCAGAGCGACTCGATGGTCTGTGCAATCATGGAGAAATATGAAAATATATCGGTATTGAAATAATCAGTCTGTAAAAATGAGTGTTATGGTTGTCATGATGTCAGAATATTTAACATGGTACCCGTAAAAATCAAAAGATATATGGATACCTGTTTGGATACCATGGCGACAGAAATAGAAGTCTTTAGGCAAACAATATTGAATGATTTTTTTCTTAAAGAAAATTCACACTCTACATTGCACACACTCATTATCCATGCAAACATTGCCAAGTTATTTGTGCAATTTAGGCAACAGACTCTTCTTTGGGTTGAAAATTTGATTTTTTTTAAAACATGAATTGACAACTTTAGTAAGTCTTCATATCAGTGATGGTAAAAAATATCCAGTTGAATGTGTTCCTATGAGTGAGATTTTGGCCTCTGTGAGACCAGTCTGTATTTTTTTCTGCTCTTTTGTATATGATGCTACCAGCAGGTGGAGTCCTAAACACAGTTTTGAAAGGAACAAGTGTCAGTGAAGGTGTTAAAAGATTTTTTTTTTTATGGAAATCACAACTAGGAAGGAAAAAAAGAATTATTCGTTTTATTATTTTTCATGATGAATATTTTACATCGCTGTACAGGCATGTACATGTTTCTGTAGCTGAATATGTTGACTGCTAACCATCTGTTTCTGGGTATTTAAAAGGTTGATTTAAAAAATAAAAACGTGTCTTCTTTCACATCTTCTTCTCTACTTTGTCTCCTTTGGGCACTCTGAATCGAGTTTTCTGAAAATATAAAAGATTCTTTGCAAATATCCTCGGGATGTGACCCATGTACAGGAGGAGAGCCAGAATCATGCCTGAAAACAAAAAAGAATTATGAACAGAGTAAACCTGAAAGAGCTGCACGTTTAATTCATATTGATGTAACATACCTGTGAGAGGACCGAGCCCGTAAACGACTGCGTACTGAACAGAGGTGAATCCAGGACAGTGGAAGGTGAGGCCGTAAGCCAGAGATGGATTCATGTAGGCTGAGGTGTAACCTCTGGCTGCAAAAACCAAAGACAAAAAATCAGTTTATTATTAATTATCATGCTGATGCACACAACTAATAAAGTGTCTCAGAAACTCAGAATTGAATACAGCGCAATCATTTCCAGGTATTATACGTAGTTTAATACCTGGATAGCACACATTGAAGCATGTCTCTGTTCATGAACATAAAAAAAGAATGGATTCAATTTCATCCAGCAGTGAAGGAAGGTTTAAGAAAAAACAGTAAAGTATAATGCTCTATAACTGGGGCAAGTCCTGCATGAAAAAACTTGATTAAGTTTAAGGACTGAACTGCAAGATAAAGGAAGTTAAGTGAAGTTTTGGCCTGTACTTTTGCAAGGGGGAGTTTAGATCTTTTTTTTTTAAATTAACATGTTGGTAAAAAAGTTGGAAGTGTAAATCTTTCCCCACAGGGTTTCTTTTTGTAAGAAATGAATGTTATTGTTTTGACTAATGTATCACTTTTTTATGGTTGGACCTGGTGGGGGTGCGCATGTAGAGGGCCTCCAAGAGATGGGACCCACTGCAGTGTTTAGATAGTTAACATGGAAAGGAAAGTCGAGCGAGTGGGTATGTCCGATTCCTCTACAGTAGGTGGAGTTATACCCCACTTTCAGCTAGTTACTATCAGACCTTCCAGTTGACTTTGCTAACAAGTTAGCAAGCAGCAAACTTAATGCTGTTTGACTTCAAGGTCTTAGCCTGCAGCGGAAACTGTGGAGCGTTCTCAGAGAGCCTTGTCCAGTCTGACTGACATTAGGCATATTTAGGTGTTAGTCCGACTTTGAGAAATTGGACTTAAGTACGATTTCTGTCAGACTAATATGTTTATCTTGTACTTTAAAAGTCTTATTTTAGTCAGATTAACACAAAAAACTTAACTTTTTCTAACTGCGTGTAAACTTACTGGGTGAATCTGATTTCAGAGGATGATGTATGTCTTTTGCACAGTATGAGAATAGGTTCATGTTTTTTTCATTTTATTTTCAATAGTTTTAAATGAAGTGTTTCTTTATATTTCCCAATTTTCATGCATTCACCATCTCTTACTTTGAAACAGTAAGGCTGTAAGAGTGTTATTTTCCTTAGACTCACCTGTGTGGGACAGGAACGTGAGGAGGGCAGCGATTAGAGGGATCCTGATCAGAGCAGACCTGTGTCTCAGGTTGAAATGGATAAGGATGAAGACGAGTGTACAGACACACTCGGTGAAGAAGCCCTGCAGCACAGACACCAGCAGAGATGAGCTGCACTCCTGATACATCAGGTTCTTAATCATGTGCATGTCTGTGAGCTCCAGACTCCAGTAGTACACCGCTACGAACAGGGCCAGGTGGGCTCCCAGAAACTGGGCCAACAAAGCCAGCAGGGTGGGCAGCGTGGGGGTCTCCAGCTGCAAGAACTTCAGCAGCACCAAGGTGGGGTTACCTGATGCCCCATCACAGACCACACCGTTAGTCAGCAGCACCACAAACAGCATGGTCACTGTCACATCAGGACCCAGACCCCCGGCCCACTCCCCCACCTCCACAATGGTCTGCACCTCCAGCCGGCACGCCACCAGCATGAAGGAGGACACAAATTCCAACATGAACCCCAAACGAGGCCATTTTCTGAACAGAGTTCTCACCGAGGCTGCAAAGATCACCACAGACACAAAGTATCCGAGTGAGGCGTTCAGACCAGACATGACTCACATCAGCTGCTGCGTCACAAAAAGAAAAGAAAGAAAGTTTCACTCAGCGACTCTACTCTCTGTCAGGCAACGTGGCACATGCACAGACACATCTCTTATCAGGGACACGTCAGGATTTTATCCTAAACCAGATGCCAAAATACACAGGCCTGAGCTAGGTCAGGTCAGATAGTTGGCCTTCAGTCAGAGGTCCTCTAACTGCAGGACAACATGTAGAAACTATCTTTTTCATCTGACAGCACAGGAAGAGGAATAATAATGCAAATGAAAAGATGGATTAAAAAGTAAAAAAGTCTCAGGATCCTGCTACAGGCTGCACTGAAGTCTTGCTTGGATCAGAAAAATAAGTTTTCTGAAGCAGCAGTACGTGCATCTGTTGCTTTTGTGAAGTCAAATACTGATTGATTAGGATTACTGAAAAGTTGTGAATTTTACCTATAATTAAGCTAAAATAATTAACTAATTATTAATCGACTATGAAATGAGTTACTGACTTGGAGTCATTATTACTTTTTAATTATATTCCATCTTTTCTATCTACGTGTCTTTGTTTCCTCTCTGTACGCTGCTGTGTTGTATGTGCTTTTTTTAATGCTTAAACTGCTCTGATCCAAATGGCCCTATTGGTATTCAACAAGTTGTTTGAATTAAATTGTATTCAGTGGAACTAGTTTGATTACTAATCAGCTTGAACGTACTTTAAAGGGAAAAGTTTGCAGCTTAGAAAATGTGAATAGTTTCTGGTTTCTGTCCTTTTGACCAGAATATCTTTGGATTTTGAAATAGACAAGACATTTTAGGCAACCTCTCGAGCTTTGGAAACACTGATGGATTTCACATAGCCAAGACGGAGAAAATGATTAACAAATCAATTGACAGTTATATAAATGACGCAGGCTTGAATCAAAATAGAGCATTTTATTTCTAATCTTAATCTCAGCATTTCCTGAGCCGTATTTATGGACTTAAATGTTGTCTTTCTGTGTTGAGTGTTTTTGTTTATAACTGTTTAAAAGTGCCTCAATTAATTTTATTATAAACAAGTCATACATATATATAAATAATTCTGTAACAAGTTGTGGTGTGGCGTCATTATTTATGTGGTCTGTCGCCCCCTTGTGGTTAAGTAGTAAACAACATATTTCTGTTGCTTACGGTGCAGCATATGAACAGCTGCTGTAACAGAAAAGTATTTTTCCCTGACCGTCTGCTTCTTTTGTAGTTTAGAGTTCATTAAGATAAACTTCCCCTGTATGTCTGTTTTTTTATGACTGTGTTTAGACCATTGACTGTAAATATTAAAGAGGACATATTATACCCCTTCTACACCTTTTCAAACAGTCCCCTGTGGTCTAAATAAAACATCTGTGCTGAGCTTTGGTCAAAATATAACATGAATCAAGCACCAGAGGAGGTTTGTGACCCTGTATAAACCAGCTCTCTGAGAACGCTTCGTTTTGGTGTGTGTGTCTCTTTTAAATGCAATGAGCCCCCCCCCCCAGTTTTCCTGGTAGACATCACTCCTCTGTAGCAAGAATAAAAATGGAGGACTGCGCAAAAGTTTTGTTCTAGACTGGGGGTGAAGTCCATGAGTTGAGATACCAGGGGAGGGTTTTTTTTTTTTGTTTTTTTTACCAGAATCCAACTTGTGACATCACAAGGAGAGCACATTTGAAACAGAGCATTTTTCTCTGCTGACTTATGCAGACCACAAACAAAGGACTGGATGGGTTTATTTCACATTTTGTGGGTCAGTAGTCACTCAGGTTACCCAAATATATGTTCAAAAACACTGTCAAAGTGGATTTTTCATTATATGTCCCCTTTAAAGATTTATTTTTTGGGGCATTTTGTGCCTTTATTAGAGAGATAGGACAGTGGATAGAGTCGTAAATCAGGGAGAAAGAGAGTAGGGAATGACATGCGGGAAAGGAGCCACAGGCTGGATTTGAGTCTGGGCCGCCCGCTTGCGGACTACAGCCTCCATACATGGGCGTGTGCACTAACCACTGCCCAACAAGCGCCCCATAATATGTCCCCTTTAAGATTTACAGTAAGGTCACATTTAGTCACTCCTCATTTCACATTTCATTTATTTTCAGAGTTCTGACTTTTTTCTGTACAGAGGGTTAGCCCCCACATTTCTATTTTTTTAAATAAATAAAACAGGATTAAAACTTTATTTCTCAGAAATTCTGACATATTTCATCCAAAATTCAGACTCACACCAAACTTAAAGATATGATCATCATCATGACTTTTTATAATCAGGCTCCTGTTAGCTGAGAAACATGTACCTACATAACTACATACTAGATACTCTCTCTCTCTGTGTGTGTGTGTGTGTGTGTGTGTGTGTGTGTGTGTGTGTGTGTGTGTGTGTGTGTGTGTGTGTGTGTGTGTGTGTGTGTGTGTGTGTGTGTGTGTGTGTGTGTGTGTGTGTGTGTGTATCTCTCTCTGTGTGTGTGTGTGTGTGCGTGCGTCTCTCTCTGTGTGTGTGTGTGTGTGTGTGCTCAGTGATGGCAGCAGAGGGTGAACAGCAGCAGTGTCTCAGTCAGGAATGAGCTCTGGTCGGGGATGGAGGACAAACCTCTCCCGGTGTTCGTGAAGCTCTTCGCCGCCGGTTTTTACGGTGTGAGCTCGTTCCTCATCGTCGTGGTGAACAAGAGCGTGCTCACTAACTACAGGTAACGTTCACCGTGACGTCTTTAACGGGGTTTGACGCTAGTTTGGATGCTAACATGTAAGCTAAGCTAGCGGCTGAAGTTGAGTTGGCGACTGGTGGAGCTTCATTAGCTTACGGCAACTTTTGGCTAGCTGAGCGGGGAACGTGTGCATCTAAATACAGGTTATAGCATGTTAGCATCACATGTGTTAGCTTTGTTTGTACTGTGACTAAAGTAGATCATCTCTTCTGTTCAGATTCCCGTCTTCAATATGTGTGGGCATTGGACAGGTGAGTTAAGCGCCTTTAAGACACACACA